CCCCCCCCAGTGCCCCAAGCCCGTCATCGCCGCCGTGCACGGACCCTGCATCGGAGCCGGTGAGGGGGGACGGGCTGGGAGGGGAGGGGACACACTGGGGTGAGACTTGGGCACACTGGGGCGGGACTGGGATGGACTGGGATGGACTGGGATGGACTGGGGAAGGACTAGGATGGATTGGGACACACTGGGATGGGACTGGGATAGACTGGGATGGGACTTGGACATGCTGGGGTGGGACTGGGATAGACTGGGATGGGACTTGGATATGCTGGGGTGGGACTGGGATAGACTGGGATGGGAGATGGGATGGGATGGGAAGAGGATGATGAGGGTGAAGATGAGGATGAAGATGAGCCCCCCCCACAGGTGTTGACCTGATCTCGGCCTGTGACATCCGGTTCTGCTCCCAGGACGCCTCGTTCCAGGTCAAGGTGGGACACGAGGGGTCCCCGAGACCCCCCTCGGGTGTCCCCGAGACCCCCCTCAGGTGTCCCCGAGACCCCTCAGACATCCCTGGAGCCTCATGGGTGTCCCTGGGACCCTTCAGGTGTCCCCAGGACCCCTCGGGTGTCCCTGGAGCCCCTTGGCCACTCCTCTGTCACCCCCCTCAATGTCCCCGATGTCCCCCTTGTGTGCCCCCATGTCCCTGATATCCCCTCATCCTGTGTCCCCCAATGTCCCCAAATGTCCCCCCATGTCCCTCCATGTCTCCTCATGTCCCCAAATGTCCCCCTGTGTCCCTCCATGTCCCCACAACATCCCTGATGTCCCCCCATGTCCCCCCATGTCCCCCCAATGTCCCCCAATGTCCCCAAATGTCCCCCCAGGAGGTTGACATCGGGCTGGCGGCCGACGTGGGGACCCTCCAGCGCCTCCCCAAAATCGTGGGGAGCCAGAGGTGGGTGAGGGGGCTGTGGGGGGGGGCCTGGGGATTGGGGGCGGTGTTACGGGGGGACCCCTGTGACCCCCGTTGCCCCCGGTGTACCCACTCGTACACAGCCTGGTGAGACGAGTGGTCTTCAGCCCGAAATGATGTTGGCGCCCGAGGCCCTGAGATGCGGCCTCGTAAGGTGGGGGGGGGCCCAAAACCCAGGGGAGGGGGCCCCAAAATCAGGGAGGGGGCACTGAGGGTCCCCCGGGGGTCATCACTATCCCCCCTTGGCTGGGGGAGGTCCCCAGAATTCGGGGGGCAGGGGAGGCACTGGGTGGTGGGGGGGACTTGGTCAGGTGAGGGGGTCCCCAACAACATCAGGAGGGTCCCCAAAATGGTGGGGGGGGTCCCCACCCTGAAAATTAGGAGGGGGGGTACTGAGGATCCCCTGGGGGTCCCATGGGGGGATCGGGGGGGCTTTTTGGGGTGCTGGGGTGGGTTTTGGGGTTGACGTGGCCAAGGGTGGTTTTGAGGTGAAAGGGTTGTTTTGGGGGGTCTGGAGTGTTTGGGGGTACCTGAGGTGGGTATGGGGTGCGGGGTTATTTCTGGGTGCGGGGTTGCATTTTGGGGTTGAAAATTGTGCAAAAAAGAAGGGTGTTGCTGCACCATGAGGCCAACAGTGATGGAGGTGGCATGGGGGTGATGTGGCAGGGTGGGTCTTTTTTGGGGGTCCTGAGGGTGTTTGGTGGTCAATGGGGTGTTGGTTATTTTGTGGTGGACAATGTGATCCACACAAGCCTGGTTTTTTGCTACCCATGCGACCACAGTGCTGGCGGGCCCTGGGTGTTGCCATTGCCAGGGTGGGTTGGGGGTTCCCTGGAGGTGTTGGGGGTCCCTGGGGTGTATTTTGGGGTGACCCCGTGCCCCCCCAGCCGGGTGCTGCCCGACAAGGCCACGCTGCTGGAGGTGGCCCTGGGGGTGGCCGTGGCCAGGGTGGGTTTGGGGGTCCCTGGGTGGGTTTGGGGGTCCGTGGGGTGTATTTTGGGGTGACCCCGTGCCCCCCCAGCCGGGTGCTGCCCGACAAGGCCGCGCTGCTGGAGGTGGCCCTGGGGGTGGCCGTGGCCATCGCCGCCCGCAGCCCCGTGGCCGTGCAGGGCACCAAGATCAACCTCGTCTACTCGAGGGACCGACCCACCCCCGAGGGGCTGCAGCACATGGTGGGTGCTGGGGGGGGGGCAAAGGCTGGGACACCCCCTTAAAAGCTGGGACACACCCCCAAAATCTGGGACACACCCCCCAAATCCTGGGACAACCCCCAATCCCAGGGCACCGTCTTAAAAGCCGGGACACCCCCCCCAAATCTGAGACACCCCCCAAAATATGGGACAGCCCCCTAAATGTGGGACACTCCCCCAAAATCTGGGACACAAGGGGTGCCTTGTCCTGTCCCAGTGTCCCCCTGTCCTGTCCCCATCCCGGTGTCCCCCTGTCCCCAAGGGTGTCCCTGTCCCCATCCCGGTGTCCCCGTCCCCATGTCCCTGTCCCCATGTCCCTGTCCCCAGGGCTGTCCTGTCCCCACCCCAGTGTCTCTTTGTCCCCCGTCCCTGTCCCCAGGGGTGTCCCTGTCCCTGTCCCCAGGGGTGTCCCTGTCCCCAGGGGTGTCCCTGTCCCTGTGTCCCCATCCCGGTGTCCCCTGTCCCTGTCCCCAGGGGTGCCCTGTCCCTGTGTCCCTATCCCGGTGTCCCCTGTCCCTGTCCCCAGGGGTGTCCTGTCCCCACCCTGTGTCCCTGTGTCCCCTGTCCCCAGGGGTGTCCTGTCCCCACCCTGTGTCCCTGTGTCCCCTGTCCCCAGGGGTGTCCCTGTCCCCAGGGGTGCCCTGTCCCTGTCCCCAGGGGTCCCCTGTCCCCATCCTGGTGTCCCTGTCCCCAGGGGTGTCCCTGTCCCTGTGTCCCCATCCTGGTGTCCCCAGGGGTGTCCCTGTCCCTGTGTCCCTGTCCCCAGGGGTGCCCCATCCCCACGGGTGTCCCTGTCCCCCCAGGCCACGTGGAACATGGCCATGCTGCAGACCGAGGACATCCTCAAGTCGGTGCAGGCGGCCCTGGAGAAGAAGGGCCCCGAGGAGGTCCCCTTTGCCAAGCTCTGATGTCACCGGGGGGCCACCGAGGTCCCCTCTGTGTCCCCAACGTCCCCTCCCCATCCCCAGGCTCTGGTGTCACCGGGGTGTCCCCAACATCCCCTTCAGCCTTAATGTCACCTCGGTGCCACCACCCCCTCCCCAGTGTCCCCTTCCCGGGGCTCTGGGGTCCCCTCAGTGCCACCACCCCCTCTCAGTGTCCCCTTCCCGGGGCTCTGGGGTCCCCTCAGTGCCACCACCCCCTCTCAGTGTCCCCCAGGCTCTGGGGTCCCCTCAGTGCCACCACCCCCTCTCAGTGTCCCCCAGGCTCTGGTGTCACCTCGGTGCCACCACCCCCTCTCAGTGTCCCCTTCCCGGGGCTCTGGGGTCCCCTCGGTGCCACCACCCCCTCTCAGTGTCCCCTTCCCGGGGCTCTGGGGTCCCCTCAGTGCCACCACCCCCTCTCAGTGTCCCCCAGGCTCTGGTGTCACCGGGGTGTCCCCAACATCCCCTTCAGCCTTAATGTCACCTCAGTGCCACCAACCCCTCCCCAGTGTCCCCTTCCCGGGGCTCTGGTGTCACCTCAGTGCCACCAACCCCTCTGTGTCCCCCAGGCTCTGGTGTCACCCCAGTGCCACCACCCCCTCCCCGGTGTCCCCTTCCCGGGGCTCTGGTGTCACCTCAGTGCCACCACCCCCTCTCAATGTCCCCCAGGCTCTGGTGTCACCCCAGTGCCACCACCCCCTTTCAGTGTCCCCCAGGCTCTGGTGTCACCCCAGTGCCACCACCCCCTCTCAGTGTCCCCTTCCCGGGGCTCTGGGGTCCCCTCGGTGTCCCCAATAAACCCCTTTGTCCCCAAGTCCCCTGGTCTTGTCCTGTCACTGGGGGTGGGGCCTGGGGGGTCCCCGTGTCCCCAAAGAACCACCAGGGCTCTGAGGGTCCCCGAGGTGCTCCTGGGGGGTCCCCAAATTGTCACCAGGGCTCTGGGGGTCCCCAAAGTGCTCCTGGGGGTCCCCAAAGTGCCACCAGGGGCCTGGGGGTCCCCGAGGTGCTCCTGGGGGTCCCCAAAGGGCCCCTGGGGGTCTGGAGGTCCCCAAAATGCTCCTGGGGGTCCCCAAAGTGCCCCCTGGGGGGCTGGGGAAGGGCAAAGGTCCGAGGGCCCATCCGGCCCCTCCCAGGGCAGAGTCCAGGGCGGTGGCACCTGAGCCAGGTGTGTCCCCTGAGCCAGGTGTGTCCCCTGTGCCAGGTGTGTCCCCTGTGCCAGGTGTGTCCCCTGAGCCAGGTGTGTCCCCTGTGCCAGGTGTGTCCCCTGTGCCAGGTGTGTCCCCTGAGCCAGGTGTGTCACCCCCCTCCCCATTTCCTGTATCCGGGGGGGGTCAAAGTCCACTCCCCGCCCAGGGAGGGGCCGGAAATGGGGGGGGGGCCCACGTGGGGGGGTATAAAGAGCCCCCCACGTTGTCACCAGTTCACCAGTGCCACCAGTGCCACCAGTGCCACCAACCATGGCCTTCGTCCCCGCGCCCGGGTACCTGCCCGCCTACAACCCGGTGGGTACCCCAAAAACGGGGGGGGGACTGAGGGTCCCTGTGACCCCCCCCAGGGACAGGGTGGGGGTCCCTGTCACCCCCCAGCTGGGCTTTGGGGTCTTGGGGGGGTCCCTGTGTCCTCCCTCGGGGACATTTTGGGCCCCCTCTGACCCCGTGTCCTCCCCGAGGTTTTGGGGTCCTGGGGGGTCCCCGTGTCCCCCCCCCGGGGACATTTCGGGCCCCCCTGACCCCGTGTCCCCCCCCAGCCCCTGCCCTACGTGGCCCCCGTGCCCGGGGGGCTCCATCCCGGGATGGCCATTTATGTGCAGGGGGTGGTGGCCCACCACGCCAAAAGGTACTGGGGGGCACTGGGGGGCACTGGGGGGGCACTGGGGGGCACTGGGAGGCACTGGGGTGGCACTGGAGGGCACTGGAAGGCACTGGGGGGGGACTGGGAGGGACTGGGGGGGGCACTGGGGGGACACCAGAGGGAATGAGGGGGTTTTTAGGGGGGCTCTGGGGTAATTGGGGGCACCAGGGGGGGCACTGGGAGGCACTGGGGGGTCCCAGAGTGACACTGGGGGGCACTGGGTGGTCCCGGGGGGGTCACCAAGGGGTGTGTCCCCCCCCCCAGTTTCCACGTGAACCTGGCCGGGGGCCCCGAGGACGGGGGGGGGGCACTGGGGGGCACTGGGGGGTCCCAGGGGGACACTGGGTGGCACTGGGTGGTCTCGGGGGGTCCCGGGGGGGTCACCAAGGGGTGTGTCCCCCCAGTTTCTGCGTGAACCTGGCTGCTGGCCCTGAGGAGGGGGGGACAGTGGGGGGCACTGGGTGGTCCCGGGGGGACACTGGGAGGCACTGGGGGGCACTGGGTGGTCTCGGGGGGTCCTGGGGGGACATGGGGGGACACTGGGTGGTCCCGGGGGGGTGACCAATGTGTGTCCCCCCCCAGTTTCTACATGAACCTGGCCGGGGGCCCCGAGGAGGCACTTGGGGGGTCCCAGAGTGACACTGGGGGGCACTGGGTGGTCTCAGGAGGGCACTGGGAGGTCCTGGGTGGTCCCAGGTGGTCTCGGGTGGTCCCGGGTGGTCCCGGGGGGGTCACCAATGTGTGTGTCCCCCCAGTTTCTGCGTGAACCTGGCCGGGGGCCCCGAGGAGGGGGGAACATGGGGGGGCACTGGGGGGCACTGGGTGATCTCGGGGGGTCTCGGGGGGCACTGGGTGGTCTCTGGGTGTCCCAGGGGGGGTCACCAATGTGTCCCCCCCCCAGTTTCCGTGTGAACCTGGCCTCTGGCCCCGAGGAGGGGGCGGATCACAGGGACACTGGGGGGCCCTGGGTGGTCCTGGGGGGATCCCGGGGGGCACTGGGTGGTCTCAGGGGGTCCCGGGGGGGTCACCAATGTGTCCCCCCCCAGTTTCCGTGTGAACCTGGCCAAGGGCCCCGAGGAGGGGGGGGATACTGGGGGGCACTGGGTGGTCCTGGGGGGATCCTGGGTGGTACTGGGGGGCACTGGGTGGTCTCTGGGTGTCCCGGGGGGGTCACCAATGTGTCCCCCCCCCCAGTTTCCGTGTGAACCTGGCCAAGGGCCCCGAGGAGGGGGGAGACACTGCGGGGCACTGGGGGTTCCCAGAGGGACACTGGGATCCCTGGGTGGTCCTGGGGGGATCCTGGGGGGCACTGGGTGGTCTCTGGGTGTCCCGGGGGGGTCACCAATGTGTCCCCCCCCCAGTTTCCGCGTGAACCTGGCCTCTGGCCCCGAGGAGGGGGCGGACGTGGCCCTGCACGTGAACCCCCGTTTCTCGGGGGGGGTCCTGGTGCTCAACAGCCGCCGGGGGAAGCACTGGGGGGACGAGCAGCGCCAGGACCCCCAACCCCTGCACCCGGGGGGGCCCTTCGAGCTCGTCATCAACGTCACCCCCCACGGATACCGCGTACGGGGGGGG